TAATAAAAGTCACTTAATGGAAACTCAACAAGCCCCGTCAGTCTGCGTCTAGCGCCATCAACTTCACCTGCTAGCCTTTAGGCAGTTACGAGTTTGAATGCACAGTTTTACCTATAATTTAATTGCTGCACACTGCCAGTGCTGGATCTCACTCCCTTCATTCCTTTTCATTGCTTTTTAAACAGTGTTACCTCAACCCGTTCCTCTTTGAGGTCGCACTGAAGTGCCAGTTTCTCACGCAACATCACATCTGGATAATGAGTGCCCTGAAATGCACTCTCCAGGATTTGCAGTTGTTCTTCGCTGAAGATCGTTCGATGCCGTCGCTTCCGTTTTCCGCCATAATGCAGCGGGTGAAATGATGAAATAAAACTACCCGTAAAATACGGAAAACAACCGGGATCTGCAACTACATGGCTTCACTTACAAATTACTTAATCGAATATGCCTAGCAGATTGTTTTTGGCTATGGCTCACTGATCATTCACCCTGAGAGTTTTGCGGGTTTTTGAAAATGTAGCTCGAGTTTAGACTTTGCAGACGTTTGCAACACGTATTTTCAGACTAATGACCAGTACTATTTTGTGACCAGTAATTTTCCAGAATGAGTGAACGGATGCTTCACTTACTACCATAACACCTTCGCCGAGCAATTTTTAAAAACTTTCAACTCTGAGGAAAAAACTTCCACATAAAAAGAAAGAACGAATTTAGTGCTCACCTTGTCACTAGACAAGGACCGATAAGTCATTTTTTTTAAATTAAATTAAGGACAATTTAAACTGAACAAGGATCGTAGAATCAGAAATCGAATATTTGAGCCGCTGGCTGAATCTCAGGCCACAGGATTTGACGGAGGTGAGTGGGAATAAGGAAAGGCAGGATTGCACAGCCAGTCGCATATTTACCACAAAAAAAATCAAGTCTAAATCATGTTTTTACAATAGAACAACACTCTCTTGACGAGTGAAAGGACTAAATACGCAGAGGCTTGCGACACAACACAAAGAAAGCGGGATTTTAAGATTTTGTGTTTAAATTAGCCCCTAGAAGAAATGCCCAAAGCAAACACAATCCGGGAGGCAACAAGAAGTTGCTCCCATTTACTCCGCAATCAGACTAAGCAAAAAGCAGCAATTTCATAAGAATATTGACTATCCATGTGTAGGCCCGTAAACTTAAAATAAACTTTCTCTTAAGTATTTGCCCCACTCAAGGATGCGTCACATTTTCAAATTGCAGCACTTTCTCATTCATTTCTTTTAGCACTCAAACAAAAGAAAAGACACGAATTTTAAGAGAATGCTTGCATTTGTTGCGCGGCATTAAAAAACGCACTATTATCTTTCACAAATGCCTGCGCCACATATGAGCATACCGCAAATTTGGGTACTGCAAAAATGTCAGCAATATTTCTTCACGGTAATCATGCGTAC